AAACATCAGCCTCGAGTTATTAACTATATAAGATTCCTTAGTTTGGAGTTGGCATGAACAAAAACTGATTAAGTATATTAATGTATCACTTTATTTATTTTTTTAAGATTTATTTACTTATTCGGAAGTCAGAGTTATACAGAGAGAGAAGGAGAGGCAGAGAGAGAGAGAGAGAGAGAGAGAGAGAGAAGGGTCTTCCATCCACTGGTTCACTCCCCAAATGGCCACAACAGCTGGAGCTGGGCCGATGTGAAGCCAGGAGCCAGGAGCTTCTTCCAGGTCTCCCACACGGGTGCAGGGCCCAAGCACTTGGGCCATCCTCTGCTGCTTTCCCAGGCCACAGCAGAGAGCTGGATTGGAAGTGGAGCAGCTGGGACTTGAACCAGCGCCACAGGGGATGCTGGCACTGCAGGTGGCGGCTTTACCCGCTACACCACAGTGCCGGCCCCAGTGTATCACTTTATTTTAATAGAGCTTGAGTTCAGGAGGATGGGCCCAGTTTGTGGAGCTGCACATGCGGGAGGGAGCGTGCGTGCACATGAAACATCTGCTTTGTCCAGCAAGCGTGCAGAACCCAGCACCCAGGAATACTCAGTTAAAGCTTGGTCACGAGGCACTAGACTGCACAAGGCCGAGACAGCCATGTTGGACCACAGTACTCTCCCACAAACATCAGCCACGGTCCGCGGCTCAGCTGTTCAGAAACCACTTGAGATGCCCGTGTCCCTTGTTGGCGTACCTGCTTTGAGTCCCACATCCACTTCCCACTTCCTGCTGACACGCGTCTTCGGAAGCCGCAAGCTGTGGCTCGAGGGCTTGGGCTCCTGTCACTCCCGTAGGAGACCTGGGCTGGGCTCCAGGCTCCTGGCTTCAGCCTGCCCACACTTGGCTGCTGCCGGCATTTGGTGGAGTGAACCACTGGATGAAGTTTCTCTCTCTCTCTCTCTCTCTCTCTCTCTCCTCCCTGCCTTTCATATAAAAAACTGCTGAATACAATGTCAAGTGCATGACAGCACAGTTAGCCGTGGAAAAGGGCTGCCGTGTCGCGGCCTGAACTCTTTTTTTTTTTTTTTTTTTTTTTGACAGGCAGAGTGGACAGTGAGAGAGAGAGAGAGACAGAGAGAAAGGTCTTCCTTTGCTGTTGGTTCACCCTCCAATGGCCACCGCGGTTGGCGCGCTGCGGCCGGCACACCGCACTGATCCGATGGCAGAAGCCAGGTGCTTCTCCTGGTCTCCCATGGGGTGCAGGGCCCAAGCACTTGGGCCATCCTCCACTGCACTCCCTGGCCACAGCAGAGAGCTGGCCTGGAAGAGGGGCAACCGGGACAGAATCTGGCGCCCCGACCAGGACTAGAACCCGGTGTGCCGGCGCCGCAAGGCAGAGGATTAGCCTAGTGAGCCGAGGCACCGGCCAAAAGACAAGCTGTGGAGAACTCTTGGCAGCGGTTGGGCCACCCTGGCGTCTCGGTCCTAGAGTGGGCGGTGTCAGAGGTGGTTCAGTTAAAATGTCTCTCGTTTCGTGAGTCCAGGGCAAGAAGAGGGGCCCTGGTTGCCTGAAGCTTGGTAGGAAAGACAAACACTGGAGCATGTTTTCCAGAGTTGTTGTCTCCCGTGCCGTGTGCAGTCAGCGAAGGCGGCGCCTAAGGAAGATAAAACTTGTGTACTGATTATTCACATGAGCAGAAGCACTTCTTGTGGACTAATGATTGAAGTGCTATGCACTTTAGGAAGCTTATGCACATGCTTATATGCACGGGGAGGGATTGTTTGATTAAACTCGCATGGACTGTGTGCGGCACTAGAAGCTCATCAACGGGGTGGGGGACACCATGCTTGGGTACACAGGCCGCCAGAATCCACATGCCGCAGGCAGGAGAATCAGAGGACGATTACATGGAACTTCAACTTCGGGTGCTGTGAGCAGGGTTCTTCCTTATTTCCCGAGGGAGAACCGCTCTCAGTTTTGGTTTAAAAACCCCGCAGTGACTTTGGAAACCCCAGAGTCCTCATTCAAGGAGTTGGAAAACTGGAACTGGTGAATGGCACCAATACGAGCGCAGTTAGGAGAAGGTGACGGGGCCATCTGTCCGAGAACAACACGGGGAGGGTCAGCTCGCTGTCCTCCAGGTCGTGTGAGTGGGCAGAGGTCAACCGCCAGCTCTCAGCATAAGCTCTGGCTCAGTGGGCGGAGTAAAGCGTGTCACTGCTTTGATGGAGTGTTGGAATGATCCCAAACTAGAGTTGAAGCACAAAGGCTGTGGCAGCTCCTTCCCTGCGGGGCGTGGGTCGGGGCTGAGCTAGCGAGGAGAGCTGCTGGGTTTGTCACGTGGAGACGCTGAGCACGGTGGCCGGGGTCTCGTGGGCGGTCAGGGAGAGGGACGGGGACAAGCAGGGGCAGCAGGAAAGCCTGGAGCTGTGGGGGGAGGGGGAAACGGGCTTTGCACTGCAGGTCCCGGAGGGTTTATTTTATTTTAATTTATAATGTTCCATGAAGAAACAGAAGTGGGTGATGACTAGGGCTGAAATGACAGGTGGTGGAATGAAGTGGAGGTGAGTGTGTGAGGGAACCTCGTCAACTGGACCGCCCCTCGGCCTCATCCTGCTGGCGGTACCGACTGCACCCGGTGCTCACAGATCTGCCACGGCCGCTGTCCTCATGGTAGGACGTGGCCCACGCGTGCCGTGGCTCTGATGATAAATAACGAGATAATCCCAAGGCAGCAGGCACCCGTAGGCGCCACGGGGTGGGCCTCGGCATCCGTGGTTAGCGTGTGCGTGCTTCGGCCATGGCACGCATCTTGACAGACGAGGCCGCGGCGGCGACGGCACCTCCTGCCCCGTGTTCGCTAACAGTCTGACCGTTTGTCGCTTCACTCTGAGAGAGGGGCTGCCACGCTGTCATCACACTGAGACACTGACGGTGGTGATGCGGGAGGCGTCCGGCACCTCCAGTCGGGGCTGGGGTCTCCAATGCCGTTCCCGAGAGCCGAGGGCCGGCACAGTTACGCCTTTTTACATCATCAGTCACGGTTAAAGTCCACCTAAGCAGACAACACATGCAGGAACTCTATCACCTCCCATCTCTGTTTCGGGTTTTGTGGGATTTTCTGTGAACTCAATCACCCATCTACAGCGGCTCCACGTTACTCTGAGGGGCGTTTTGGTTGTGGGCTGTGTTAGGTTGCGTGCTCTGTCCGGGACCGTAACCGCCATAACCGCGGGGCTCAGTGGCCTTTGAGGCTTGTTAAGGGGGTTACCAGCGAGAGGAACGATGGGCTCTCATGAAATGGGAGTGGATTTTAAGGGTCTTCAGGAAGGCGCTCCTGCCAAGTATTCTTGGTGTGGCCGTAACACGCGGGTATGGGAGCTGGTTATGGGTGTAGATCATTGTTAATCTTTTTACTACTGTTTTGGTTACTCTAGATAATTAACCGGTTCCTGGGATAGCTAGTAGTTAGCAGAAGAAATTCTATTTGATTAGGCTTTTTTTTTTAATATTGTTTTATTTATTTGGAAGGTAGACTTACACAGAGAGAGGTATTTTCTATTCACTGGCTCGCTCCCCACATGGCTGAACAGCCCAGGGCTGGGCCAGGCCTGGCTGGAGCCCGGAGCGCCACTGGGGTCTCCCACTGGGGTCTCCCACTGGCGTCTCCCACTGGGGTCTCCCACTGGGGTCTCCCACTGGGGCCTTTGCTGCTGCCCGGGCGCCCCAGCGGGCGGCGGGGTCAGACGTGGGGCAGCCTGGACTCGCCCGGTGCCACAGCGCCGGCCCCGACTGGGCTCTCTCACCCTGACGTCCTCATTCGGAATTAGGTGTTTACGGGGCTGCTTTTTCTAGCTCGTTTAAATCCGACGGAAGTAATGCGTGCTTCGACGTTAACAGCTGGGAAAGGCTCTAAAACTTAAAAAAACGTGTATGAGGACAATTTCCCTCAAGTTCACTGTCCGAGAACTGTGGGGAACGGGCCCGGTCACCTGGGGCAGCTGAGGGGGACGCCGGGGGACCCCGCACCTAATGCCTGTCCCCAGCACCGTCCACCCACCACGCCCAGTCCGTCAGAACCCGGCTCCGGCCGCCGGGCCCACCGAGGGGTCCACGCCCGCCCTCGTCCGCGCTGGGTCCACCGAGGGGTCCACGCCCGCCCTCGCCGGGTCCACCGAGGGGTCCACGCCCGCCCCCGCCCACGCCGGGTCCCACCGAGGGGTCCACGCCCGCCCCCGCCCGCGCCGGGTCCCACCGAGGGGTCCACGCCCGCCCCCGCCCGCGCCGGGTCCCACCGAGGGGTCCCCGCCCGCCCCCGCCCGCGCCGGGTCCCACCGAGGGGTCCACGCCCGCCCCCGCCCGCGCCGGGTCCCACCGAGGGGTCCACGCCCGCCCCCGCCCGCGCCGGGTCCCACCGAGGGGTCCCCGCCCGCCCCCGCCCGCGCCGGGTCCCACCGAGGGGTCCACGCCCGCCCACGCCCGCGCCGGGTCCCACCGAGGGGTCCACGCCCGCCCACGCCCGCGCCGGGTCCCACCGAGGGGTCCACGCCCGCCCACGCCCGCGCCGGGTCCCACCGAGGGGTCCACGCCCGCCCCCACCCTCGTCCTTGCCGGGTCCCACCGAGGGGTCCACGCCCGCCCTCGCCCGCGCCGAGCCCCACCGAGGGGTCCACGCCCGCCCCCGCCCACGCCGGGTCCCACCGAGGGGTCCACGCCCGCCCGCGCCGGGTCCCACCGAGGGGTCCACGCCCGCCCTTGTCCTTGCCGGGTCCACCGAGGGGTCCACGCCCGCCCTCGCCCGCGCCGGTCGCGGCTGCTCAGCCCGCCGGGGCCGCGGCACCTCGCCGGGCGGCGCGGAGGTGCGCGTGCGCGCGGGCGGGCGGCGGGGGCGCGCACGGCGGGCGCGCACGGCGGCGGGCGGGGCGGGGCGGGCGCGCGGCGCTCGGGCGCACCGGCCGGCGGGGCTGAGCGCGGGGCTGAGGTGCGGCGCGGGGCTGAGGTGCGGCGCGGGGCCGAGGCCGCGCTCGGCGGACGACGCGGAGGCCGAGCCCGGGCGGAGGCCGCGGCGGGCGGCGGGGCGGCGGCGGCGCGGACCCGTGGGCCCGGCGTTCCCCCGGCCCGGCCGGCGGGGAGGCGGCGGCGGGGACCATGTCGGCCGGCGGCCGCGACGAGGAGCGGCGGAAGCTGGCCGACATCATCCACCACTGGAACGCCAACCGGCTGGACCTGTTCGAGATCAGCCAGCCGACCGAGGTGAGCGCGGCCGGGCGGCGGGGCGTGGGGGAGGGGCGCGCGCGGGGAGGGGGCGCGGGACCCGCCGGCCGCCCCTCCCCCGCCGGCCGCCCCGGGACGCGCCCTCCGCGCGCGGGCCCGCCGGCCGCCCCACGCGCGGCCCGGCGCCCACCTGCGCCCTGGCTCCGCACACCTGGCCCGGCGCGCGCGGAGGCGGGCCTGGGCCTGGGGCGGCCGGCGGGCCGGGCCCGGGCGGTGGGCTGGGGGCGCGGCGGCCGCCCCGCGCCGCCCCCGCCCGGGCGGTCAAAGTGCAGAGGTCGCGGGCCCGCCCGGGGGCGGGGGCAGTGCACCTGCGCCGCGCGGCGGGGCGAGGTGCGGGCCTGGGGAGCGGCCCTTTCTCCTGCTCGGCCGCGCGGAGCCCGCCCCGCACGGGGGCAGCGCGTCGGTCTGCGGCTCGCGGGCAGCAGGTAGCCCGCAGGGCGAGCGGCCTCGTGGGCTCCAAGCCCCTTCTCCTGCGAGCCGGGCCGTGCTTGGAGGAGATGTGAGTGTGTTCTGCGTTTTCCGCGACGTCATGCGAGTCCCGGCCCCGCTCCTACCTGGGGCGCGGGGAGTGAACCTCAGTGGGGGCGAGTGAGCGCCGGGCCCAGGGGGACAGCGCTGGGCTCGGGGCAGTGGGCTGGGCCCAGAGGGACAGCGCTCGGGCTCGGGGGACAGTGCTGGACCCAGGGAAACAGTGCTGGGCTCAGGAGACAGTGTGCTGGGCTGAGGGGGACAGTGCTGGGCTCGGGGCAGTGGGCTGAGGGGGACAGTGCTGGGCTGAGGGGGACAGTGCTGGGCTGAGGGGGACAGTGCTGGGCTCAGGGGCAGTGGGCTGAGGGGGACAGTGCTGGGCTGAGGGGGACAGTGCTGGGCTCGGGGCAGTGGGCTGAGGGGGACAGTGCTGGGCTCAGGGGGACAGTGGGCCCAGGGGGCAGCGTGCGCAGACCTCAGGCTGGCTCTGGGCGCAGCTCTGCTGTGGTGGCTTCGTGGCTGGGCCCTGCAGACACGTCCACCCCACCTGGATTGGGAGCAGGGCTCCTGCAAGGAGCGGTGTCGCGGTCCCAGGGTAGGTTGTCTTTCGATGGCGAGTTGGCGGGTGGAACTTGGGACGCGTCCACTTGTGCTTTGTGAGTGGTGTTCAAGTCTGGTCGACAAGAACCATCTTCTCAGCCCGGGAGCAGAATTCCACTTATTCTGGACTTTGTTTGTTTATTTATTTATTTGACAGAGTTAGAGAGAGAGAGAGAAAGGTCTTTCTTCTGTTGGTTCACCCCCCAAATGGCCACCATGGCCGGCACTGGCCAGGAGCCAGGTGTTTCTCCTGGTCTCCCATGCAGGTGCAGGGCCCAAGCACTTGGGCCATCCTCCACTGCCTTCCCGGGCCACAGCAGAGAGCTGGCTTGGAAGAGGGGCAACCGGGACTAGAACCCAGTGTGCCGGCGCCATAGGCGGAGGATTAGCCTACCCTGGGCTTTGAGTTGGTACTTTTTTTTATTTGACAGGTAGAGTCATAGACAGTGAGTGAGAGAGACAAAGGTCTTCCTTCCGCTGGTTCACCCTCCAAATGGCTGCTACGGCTGCTGATCCGAAGCCAGGAGCCAGGTGCCTCCTCCTGGTCTCCCATGCGGGTGCAGGGCCCAAGCACTTGGGCCATCCTCCACTGCCTTCCCAGGCCACAGCAGAGAGCTGGACTGGAAGAGGGGCAACTGGGACTGGAACCCGACGCCCACATGGGATGCCGGCGCCGAAGGTGGAGGATTAACCGAGTGAGCCATAGCGCCGCCCCTGAGTTGGTACTTTTTAAAAATTCCCAAATAAACACACTGTTCCTGCTAGTTTAAAGGCTCTTTAAGCACCCGATGGAAAGTTGCCCTCTGTTTTCCTGGAGACGTGAGTAGCCGGGGAAGCGACACTGGCCATGGGGTGACCGCGGTGGCACTGCAGGTAGCCGCTAGTGCGTGCAGGGTGGAGGCCGAGCTGAGAGTGGGGACGCCCCGGCTCTGCCTCGGCGCCGATGTCTCCGCGTTTCTGCCTTCTAGAAATGATTCGTTAGAATGGGGCTGGAAAGCCTGGTAATCGGATGGTTTTCAGGAAGTAACGTTTGAGCGTTTTCAGTATGTAGTGATTCCCTGTGTCAGGGACACCTGTGTGCTCGGGCGGACTTCAGAAGGTTCGTGGGAAATGGAATGAAAAGATAAACGTGTCCGCTTCGTAGGCTCCATCCCACGTGAGACTCCTCGGGGCCAGGATCCCACGTTCCGTCCTTCCGGGGGCCCTCGTGGCCCAGGTGATGTCAGTGCAACCTGCATTCTGGGAAAGAAACAGGAGTCAGGGCCGACTCGGGACTGAGACCCCGATGGTTCGCAGGGCCTTGTTGCCCGGAGAGGACCTGTTCCCTGGCCGTGGCCAGGAGCTCTGCTGTGACGGAGCCACTTCCCTCTGTAGCCAGTGCTGCGGCCGGGCCCTGCCCCAGGACCCTGGGTTGAAGCCACGTGTCCCGTCCCGTCCTTAGGAGAAACGCTGCAGCAGCCTGCTGCCTCTTGTTGGAAACGCCCATTGGAGTCCCCGCTGTGTGTGCAGCTGGTCGGCTCTAAGTTTGTCCCCGGCTAAGCAGTGAGCGTGGTGTCCACTGTGGGTGCCGTGGTGGGCAGTGTTCACCTGGGCAGTGAGCGTGGTGTCCACTGTGGGTGCTGTGGTGGGCGGTGTTCACCTGGGCACTGAGCATGGTGTCCACTGTGGGTGCCGTGGTGGTGGGCGGTGTTCACCTGGGCAGTGAGTGTGGTGTCCACTGTGGGTGCCGTGGTGGGCGGTGTTCACCTGGGCAGTGAGCGTGGCGTCCCTGAGCCCCTGTGGGTGCTGTGGTGGGCGGTGTTCACCTGGGCACTGAGCATGGTGTCCACTGTGGGTGCCGTGGTGGTGGGCGGTGTTCACCTGGGCAGTGAGCGTGGTGTCCACTGTGGGTGCCGTGGTGGGCGGTGTTCACCGGGCAGTGAGTGTGGTGTCCACCGTGGTTCCGTGGTGGTGGCTACTGTTCCTGCCGGCAGGCGTGCGTCTCCTGCCGGGGCACAGGCAGGCCGGGGCTTTCCCTGGTGGGTTGGGGTGGGGGGTGCTGCCGTGGGCGTCCTCACTGGAGTCGGTTCTCAGGATGAGTTCTCTGTGCAGACACTGCTGGTGTCTCGGGGTTGTTGCCACGCAGGCCCCGGGCGCTCTGTGACTTTGCCGTCCCCACTGCAGCGTCTCCGTAGGTCTGACGCAGGTTCTTGCGTCTGTATTAGCAGAATCCAGCAGGCGTCTGGGACGGGGCTGCTCAGGGCTCGCGCCGGGTCCTGTCCACACATTGGGTCACCTGTTAGCAGGGGTTGATCTTGATGTAAAAATTGAAAAATGTGCTTTTTTTAATTAAATAATGCATTTCCATCAATTTCTTGAAGGCCTCATAGTATTCTGCTGTTAGAAGTTCAGCTTTGGGGCTGGCACTGTGGTGGCATCCCATGTGGGCGCCACATCAAGACCTGGCTGTTCCGCTTTGGATCCAGCTCTCTGCTGGCCTGGGAAAGCAGTAGAAGGTGGCCCAAGTCCTTGGGTCCCTGCGCCCACGTGGGAGACCCGGAAGAAGCTCCTGGCTCCTGGCTTCGGATCAGCACAGCTCTGGCCGTTGCAGCCAATTGGGCCAATTGGGGAGTGAACCAGCAGGATGGAAGACCTCTCTCTCTCTTTCTCTCTCTCTCTCTCTTTCTCTCTCTCTCCCCTTCTCCTTCTCTCTGTGTAACTCTGAGTTTCAAGTAAATAAATGTTTCAATAAAAGTTCAGCTTTTTGTTTAGCATATTATTGCTCATTAGCATGTAGATAAAATTATTTAATGTTAATTCCTAAACCAATATTTCAAAGCCAGTGATTCAGTTTGCTTTATCTAAGCTTGTGTGTTTACTATTTTGTGGTTACTTTTACTCTGTTTGGCTATTATGAATTAAATGTCTTAGTTTTCTTTTTTAAGTTTTATTTATTAGAGAGGGAGGGGGAGGGGGAGGGGGAGGGAGAGAGGGGTCTTCATCCCCTGGTTCACTTCCCAGATGGTTGCGGCAGAGCTGGGCCGATCCAGAGCCGGGAGCCAGAGGCCGTCTTCCACTGCTTCCCCAGCTGTCAGCAGAGAACTGGCTTGGAAGAGGAGCGGCTGGGACGCGAACCAGTGCCTGGATGGGATGCCGGTGCCACAGGCAGAGGCTTAGCCGCTGTGCCCCAGCGCCGGCCCCAGGCGGTTCGTGTTCCGTGAGAACAGAGTATTCCCGGGCCCGTGCGGGGCGCTGGCACTGGTTGGTTTGTGCGAGTGGGATTTGAGTCTCCTGTTTACTTACTTGGGTAATCGGATGTGCTGTGAGACTACGGTTGTGAGCTGTTTCGTGTGTTTGCTTGCTTTCCTGTGGAGTGATCAGTATCTGTTGCCAATCATCTGATTGGTGGCTTCAGGCAGCTCTGATTCCCTGATAATTTTGCGGTTTCTATGTTTAGTAAGTTGATAAATTTGGTTCTGTGGATTTCGCTTACTTGTCAGGAAATTGGAACAAGTTTCATGATCCGTCTGGTGAGATTTGCTTTTCCTTTATCTCCACGGGGACTTCCAGGAGAGCCCGATTCTCGTGGTTAGCACCAGGAGCCCGTCTCGGTGCCCGTCTCGGTGCCCGCGGGAGGCTCGTCCAGCCTCTCGGTCTGTCCTGTGCTCAGTGTGCTTCCGTGCAGTGTCTCCAGCACTTTCTCCCGTGGGCCCGATTCTCATGGTTAGCACCAGGAGCCCGTCTCGGTGCCTGCGGGAGGCTTGTCCAGCCTCTCGGTCTGTCCTGTGCTCAGTGTGCTTCCGTGCAGTGTCTCCAGCACTTTCTCCCGTGGGCCCGATTCTCATGGTTAGCACCAGGAGCCCGTCTCGGTGCCTGCGGGAGGCTTGTCCAGCCTCTCGGTCTGTCCTGTGCTCGGTGTGCAGGCTGTTTCT